ACTGGTGGCGCATCATCGTCACGAAGCCGGTGGACTACGCGACTCTACCGATACGGGAAGGACAAACCGGACCCTCGGCGCCGTCGTATTTCGTGGAGGTGCCCCAGTATCGCACGTGGGACGCGTGGTGCGCAGGTATGCGCGCTCGTTTCGAGCCAATTGCGGCTTCGATCGCGGCGCGACAGAGGCTCCGCACTTGGCGCCAACTCGGTTCCGTCCAAGACTACACGAGCGGTTTTCTGGCGCTATGCGAGCAAGTGGGTTATATGCACGAGAGCGAACGCATCGACCGCTACATCGGCGGCCTGAAGCAGGACATCGCTCAGGAAATCCAGCTTCGCGGCGTCACCGATTTTCAGGAGATTCTCGCCATGGCGGAGAAACTCGATTTCTTCCGCCGACCGAGACCGGGGTCCTACGGAAGCAGCAATTGGGGACATCGGCCTCGTGGGACGAACGACGGCGCTACGATACGTGTCGTCGCCGCAAATGCCGCTGCCGCACCGTTCAAAGGGCGCTGCTTTGCGTGCAATCGGCCGGGACACCGTAAGAGCGAATGCCCGGAAAATGCTAAGGGAAAGGGGGAAGCTGAGCAGCAGAAACAGACCAAGCAGCAGGGAAACTCTGGGAGTCAGTAGCAGACAGGCCCTCTACTGACAGGTCACGCCGCTCGCCCGACCCAACCGACCCTCACCGAGTGATTGTGCCGGTTCACGCAATCGACCACACCCGGCCGAATAAGGAGGGTACCACGGTAGACAGCCCTATACTGCTTAGTGGGAAAATCGGGACGGACTTAGTTAAAATCTTCGTAGACGGAGGGGCCAGCCACAGCCTTATCAACACTGCCACAGCACAAAAACTGCGACTGCCACTGGACAGATGCTTACCTGAGATCGACGCAAGACTGGTCGACGGCACGCCACTGGCAATACGGGAACGTGTGGACCGAGTTCGGATTCGATGCGGGGGTAACTTCACGTTTAGCCAGGAAATGCTCGCAACGACCCTCGACGGAACCGACATTTTACTCGGGCGTGATTGGCTGCGACGACACAATCCGCGAATCGACTGGACGACGGGTGACTGTACTGTGCGAGTGAACGGTAACAACATCGCCTTACCTCGCTGGGGCTCGCCTGAGTCTTCGTCGGTGCGTGTCAACGCGATCACGATGAAACGCGCCGTAGCGGCAGGAGCTGACGTGTACGCGGTTGACATTCGGGAAGCCGAGGCAGCAGACAAAGGGGGGGATTTACAGAAACTGCTAGCCGACGTACCGGGTGATCTGGCAGCACTGTTGAAGCAGTACAGTGATATTTTCCCGGACGACCTACCGACGGGACTGCCACCTCAGCGACCGCACGACCACAGGATAGAACTAGAACCGGGGGCACAGCCAACAGTACAGCGACAGTTCTGACTGACCCAACCCGAACTGGACGAACTGAGGAAGCAGCTGACATACCTGCTCGAGAAGGAGTTCATTCGCCCTAGTTCGTCACCTTTCGCAGCACCGATACTGTTCACACCGAAAAAAGACGGGGTTTTTCGCATGTGCATAGACTACAAAGCACTGAACAGGGTTACCATCAAATCCCGTTACCCCATTCCACGAGCCGACGAACTGATCGACCAACTGCGCACAGCCCGGGTTTTCTCGAAAATCGACCTTCGAGGAGGTTACCACCAGATTCGCGTCAATCCACCCGACTGCCCTAAGACAGCCTTCCGGACACGCTACGGATCCTTCGAATACACCATCATGCCCTTCGGACTGACCAACGCCCCCGCCACTTTTCAAATGACCATGAACGAAGCCTTCCTCCCGCTCTTAGATAAGTGCGTCACTGTGTACCTTGACGACATACTGATTTACAGCCCCGACAGAGCACAGCACTTACAGGACATCGAAGCAGTTTTTAAGATACTGAGTGAGAACCGCCTACTGACAAAAGCGTCTAAGTGTGAGTTTTTACAGGATCGACTGGAGTTTCTGGGACACATTATTTCAGCTGCAGGAGTGGAAATAGACCCGAGCAAGATTGCGACGATTCAAGCATGGCACGCGCCGACCAACTTGACCGAGTTGCAGAGTTTTCTGGGGTTCGTCAACTACGTGCGCCGGTTCGTCCCCGACATGGCGAAGCTAACTGCCCCGTTGACTGACCTGCTGAGGAAGGGGGTTGAGTACACGTGGGGGGAGAAAGAGCAAGCTGCCTTCTCGGCCCTCAAAAATATTTTGTGCTCACCGCCCGTGCTTCACATCGCAGATCCGCACCGTCCGTTCGAACTCGTCACCGACGCTAGCGACATCGCTGTGGGAGCAGTACTGTTGCAGGACTTCGGGAACGGCCTTCAGCCAATCGCGTACGAGTCCCGCAAGCTTCACCCGCCCGAACGCAACTATCCGATACACGACCGCGAAATGCTGGCGATCGTGCGCGCGTTCAAGGTGTAGCGATGTTACCTGACGGGAGCAGACGTGGCAGTACGGACAGACCACCGATCCCTACAGTACCTTCGCGCCCAACCGAATCTCAACCACCGACAGATCCGCTGGTTGGACTATCTGGAGTCCAACTTCCACTACACGGTCACGTACAAAAAAGGCGCATCCAACATCGCCGACGCACTCACACGCCCCACCGCCCAACTCCACGCCATCCTACTCGCCCAAACCAACCCACTGTTAACAGGCCCATTCACCCATGGATACAGTACCGACCCATTTTTCACGACCGGAAAATCACAGCAACTGGCAGAGGCCAGAGGAGTCTATTACATAAAAACAGGCACCAACCGCATCTGGGTACCCGCGTACTCACTACTGAGGGAACTGTTACTGCAGGAGGCACACGACGGAATTACCTCGGGACATTTCGGGGTAGAATAAACGCGACAGCAACTGCAGCGGTATTACTACTGGCCGGAGCTGTTGACCGACGTACAGCACCACGTGGGCTCGTGTCCCACGTGTCAGGTGATGAAGAGCTCGCAGAAAAAAAAGGCGGGTCAGTTGCAGCCGATTCCACCGCCTGAGCGCGCCTGGCAGCAGATTACCATGGATTTCGTCACAGGGTTACCTTCGAACCCTGGGGGTAACGACGCGGTTATGGTCGTCGTTGACAGGTTGACGAAGATGGCACACTTCGCTGCGTGCAAGAAATCGATCTCAGCCGAAGAAACCGCTCGCCTGTTCATCGCAGCCGTCGTTCGACTGCACGGGATACCAGCCGCGATAATCAGCGACCGCGACACGAAGTTCACCAGCAAGTTCTGGAAGAACCTCTGGGAGCAGTTCGGGACAAGGCTACAGTTCAGCTCGTCGTACCACCCCGAGACCGACGGTCAAACGGAGCGGACGAATCAGACGATGGAGCAATTGATTCGTTCCACGTGCGACGACCCGACCACTTGGGAGCAGCAGCTGCCGCTGATCGAGTTCGCGTATAACAACGCCACGTCAGCGACGACGCAACAGTCCCCTTTCTACCTGAACTACGGGCAAAATCCTACAGTGCCCATGACGCCGAGTCCGGACAACCCAACACCACGTGCACAGCAATTCGCCGAAATTCTTCAAGCTGCCCGCACCAGAGCCGCAGAAGCAATTAAAAAGGCCAACGTCATCGCTAAGCGCAACGCTGACCGCCACCGCCGCCCAGTCACGTACCAGTCAGGAGACTACGTACTGCTCGACACACAGAACTTAAGACTGCCCGTCGTACCGAAATTACGACCCCGCTACTGTGGACCATTCCAAATCAGCCACATGATTACCCCAGTGACAGCCCACCTACTGTTGCCGACGGACTGGTACATCAGCCCTTCGTTCCACGTCAGCCTGCTTCGCCCATACATCCCAACCACAAGCCAACTGCCTCGTCACCGCCCGCCATCCATGACTCGCCCTGCATCGGAACCGATCATTGAACCCGAGAAAATCCTGAGCCATCGGATTCGACACCCCACGAGAATCAGGAGGATTGAATTCCTCGTTCGCTGGAAGGATCGCACGCCAACTGAAGATAGCTGGGTGCCCCTGGCCAACATCGAAAATCACCCTGCCCTGCAAGTGTACCTGAGGAGCCGGGGTTTCCGCGATATACACGCACTCGCGTAGCGGAGGGGGCTTCTTGAGGGGGGGGGTAGTGTAAGGAATTTTCTCGATATTCCTTAGCGCGCCTTGCAACATCGCGTACAGCAGCAGCCGTTGTTCGCCCGTTACTGCTAACGGGGCTTCGCCGACTTCGCGCGCACAGTTTCACCAAACCTCGCACTGCTGGCCTGGCCGTGTCGGCCTACGCTTCGGGACTAGCCCGAGCCTCGCTTCCAGCATAGCACTAGCTAGCTCGCACGCACCGCGTTACCGTTTGCATGTTTCGCGTATAAATGTTCGCTCATGCCTTCGCTCACATTTTGTACTCGTTTGACACCTTAGTGCAATTCTCGCTACTTCGATTCATTGCACCCGTAACAGGAAAATTCTTTACACTACCCCCACCTTCCACCCATTTGCGATACAGGTCGCTCCCCGACGTAGCCTGCATGCGAACTGTTACAGACTCGCATACACCTGCAAGCAACTACATCATCCTCTCCGTTCTTGTTGCCACCCTCATCCATCCTCCAGCTGCCATCCTCATCAAGTATATTCTCGCTCCTATCCAAGCTCTCAGTCGAAGGTAGACCAAGGGAGAGCGTTAGTGGATCGGACGTTTCTTCCTGCCTGATTTGCGTGTGCTGTCAACCGTCCGATCATGGGCTTCGATCCAGGTACGCAGCCTCAACGTGACACCCTTATCTTCCAAGCTTCTTGATCGCAATCTTTATGGACTTCAGTCATTTTGTATGTTTCTAAGGATTATCGAGGTTCTTAATATCGGAGTTGCACGGTTAGAGTCGGTACGTCGGTCGCGTCGTTCCTGGAATGATAAGATGCAGCAGGCGAGTTCGGCGAATTCCGCGTAGCAGATAACATTCGTTTTTGGCTCGGAATGAATGAAGGTTGCCGTTCCCCTCCTCCGCCTCGGCCTCCCTCCCCTCGTTCCTCCTTCCCTTCTTCCACCTTCCCCCCCTACCCCCTTCCTTCCCCCACCCCCCCCACCCACCACAACCCCCCCCCTCCCCCCCTCCCCCCCTCTCCGCTCCCTCTCGCAGCTCCATGCGCGCAATTTTTTCCACCTGCCACTCTCGTTCTTTGTTCCCCTCATTTTTCTCTCATTTCTCATCTGTCCCTGTCTCGTTCTCGCGTTCTCTCCCCCACGCGCACACGTCTTCCACGCGCGCGCACGCTGGATGGGGCCCCGGCAGATGAGGTGGAGCGCGACGAGGAGGAGGAGGAAGAAGAGGGCGACGACGTGAACGGGGAGGACGACGACGAAGAGGAAGGTAGGGCGCGCGGGAGGTGGGGTGCGCGGAGGTAGGTCGCGACGAGGAAGTTGAGTCGAGGAAGAGGGAGGCAGGGCGAGAGGAGGAAGGTAGGGCGCGTGGTTTCAGGTAGGCGCGCGGAGGAAGGTAGGGCGCGCGGAGGAAGGTAGAGCGCGCGGAGGAAGGTAGAGCGCGCGGAGGAAGGTAGGGCGCGCGGAGGAAGGTAAGGCGCGCTGAGGGAGGTAGGGTGCGCGGAGGAAGGTAAGGCGCGCGGAGGGAGGTAGGGCGCGCGGAGGAAGGTAGGGCGCGCGGAGGAAGGTAGGGCGCGCGGAGGAAGGTAGGGCGCGCGGAGGAAGGTAGGGCTCGCAGAGGGAGAGAGGCCGTGCAGGAGGTGAGGCGCGCGGAGCAAGGTGGGTCGCGACGAGGGAGCTAGGTCGAGAATGGGGAGGCAGGGCGAGAGGAGGAAGTTAGGGCGCGCGGGACATGGAGCGAGAGAGGGAAAGGAGGGAGAGGGGAAAGAGCGAGAGGGGAAGGAGGAGGGAGTTAGGGCAAGAGGGATTTATAATCGGTTGGGCGAATCGAATTAGACTACGGCAGCAAAGGAGTCGTGAGGTGAGGGCCAGCGTTCTATCGGTCGTGTGACTGCACGTCGGCAGTGGCTGTAAGTGGGGGGGTGTATCGGCAGTACCAATCAGCCATGCTGCCAGTCCTGCTGGTCGCCCCATTGTGCGCCAGTCCTGCTGGTCGCCCCATTGTGCGCCAGTCCTGCTGGTCGCCCCATTGTGCGCCAGTCCTGCTGGTCGCCCCATTGTGCGCCAGTCCTGCTGGTCGCCCCATTGTGCGCCAGTCCTGCTGGTCGCCCCATTGTGCGCCAGTCCTGCTGGTCGCCCCATTGTGCGCCAGTCCTGCTGGTCGCCCCATTGTGCGCCAGTCCTGCTGGTCGCCCCATTGTGCGCCAGTCCTGCTGGTCGCCCCATTGTGCGCCAGTCCTGCTGGTCGCCCCATTGTGCGCCAGTCCTGCTGGTCGCCCCATTGTGCGCCAGTCCTGCTGGTCGCCCCATTGTGCGCCAGTCCTGCTGGTCGCCCCATTGTGCGCCAGTCCTGCTGGTCGCCCCATTGTGCGCCAGTCCTGCTGGTCGCCCCATTGTGCGCCAGTCCTGCTGGTCGCCCCATTGTGCGCCAGTCCTGCTGGTCGCCCCATTGTGCGCCAGTCCTGCTGGTCGCCCCATTGTGCGCCAGTCCTGCTGGTCGCCCCATTGTGCGCCAGTCCTGCTGGTCGCCCCATTGTGCGCCAGTCCTGCTGGTCGCCCCATTGTGCGCCAGTCCTGCTGGTCGCCCCATTGTGCGCCAGTCCTGCTGGTCGCCCCATTGTGCGCCAGTCCTGCTGGTCGCCCCATTGTGCGCCAGTCCTGCTGGTCGCCCCATTGTGCGCCAGTCCTGCTGGTCGCCCCATTGTGCGCCAGTCCTGCTGGTCGCCCCATTGTGCGCCAGTCCTGCTGGTCGCCCCATTGTGCGCCAGTCCTGCTGGTCGCCCCATTGTGCGCCAGTCCTGCTGGTCGCCCCATTGTGCGCCAGTCCTGCTGGTCGCCCCATTGTGCGCCAGTCCTGCTGGTCGCCCCATTGTGCGCCAGTCCTGCTGGTCGCCCCATTGTGCGCCAGTCCTGCTGGTCGCCCCATTGTGCGCCAGTCCTGCTGGTCGCCCCATTGTGCGCCAGTCCTGCTGGTCGCCCCATTGTGCGCCAGTCCTGCTGGTCGCCCCATTGTGCGCCAGTCCTGCTGGTCGCCCCATTGTGCGCCAGTCCTGCTGGTCGCCCCATTGTGCGCCAGTCCTGCTGGTCGCCCCATTGTGCGCCAGTCCTGCTGGTCGCCCCATTGTGCGCCAGTCCTGCTGGTCGCCCCATTGTGCGCCAGTCCTGCTGGTCGCCCCATTGTGCGCCAGTCCTGCTGGTCGCCCCATTGTGCGCCAGTCCTGCTGGTCGCCCCATTGTGCGCCAGTCCTGCTGGTCGCCCCATTGTGCGCCAGTCCTGCTGGTCGCCCCATTGTGCGCCAGTCCTGCTGGTCGCCCCATTGTGCGCCAGTCCTGCTGGTCGCCCCATTGTGCGCCAGTCCTGCTGGTCGCCCCATTGTGCGCCAGTCCTGCTGGTCGCCCCATTGTGCGCCAGTCCTGCTGGTCGCCCCATTGTGCGCCAGTCCTGCTGGTCGCCCCATTGTGCGCCAGTCCTGCTGGTCGCCCCATTGTGCGCCAGTCCTGCTGGTCGCCCCATTGTGCGCCAGTCCTGCTGGTCGCCCCATTGTGCGCCAGTCCTGCTGGTCGCCCCATTGTGCGCCAGTCCTGCTGGTCGCCCCATTGTGCGCCAGTCCTGCTGGTCGCCCCATTGTGCGCCAGTCCTGCTGGTCGCCCCATTGTGCGCCAGTCCTGCTGGTCGCCCCATTGTGCGCCAGTCCTGCTGGTCGCCCCATTGTGCGCCAGTCCTGCTGGTCGCCCCATTGTGCGCCAGTCCTGCTGGTCGCCCCATTGTGCGCCAGTCCTGCTGGTCGCCCCATTGTGCGCCAGTCCTGCTGGTCGCCCCATTGTGCGCCAGTCCTGCTGGTCGCCCCATTGTGCGCCAGTCCTGCTGGTCGCCCCATTGTGCGCCAGTCCTGCTGGTCGCCCCATTGTGCGCCAGTCCTGCTGGTCGCCCCATTGTGCGCCAGTCCTGCTGGTCGCCCCATTGTGCGCCAGTCCTGCTGGTCGCCCCATTGTGCGCCAGTCCTGCTGGTCGCCCCATTGTGCGCCAGTCCTGCTGGTCGCCCCATTGTGCGCCAGTCCTGCTGGTCGCCCCATTGTGCGCCAGTCCTGCTGGTCGCCCCATTGTGCGCCAGTCCTGCTGGTCGCCCCATTGTGCGCCAGTCCTGCTGGTCGCCCCATTGTGCGCCAGTCCTGCTGGTCGCCCCATTGTGCGCCAGTCCTGCTGGTCGCCCCATTGTGCGCCAGTCCTGCTGGTCGCCCCATTGTGCGCCAGTCCTGCTGGTCGCCCCATTGTGCGCCAGTCCTGCTGGTCGCCCCATTGTGCGCCAGTCCTGCTGGTCGCCCCATTGTGCGCCAGTCCTGCTGGTCGCCCCATTGTGCGCCAGTCCTGCTGGTCGCCCCATTGTGCGCCAGTCCTGCTGGTCGCCCCATTGTGCGCCAGTCCTGCTGGTCGCCCCATTGTGCGCCAGTCCTGCTGGTCGCCCCATTGTGCGCCAGTCCTGCTGGTCGCCCCATTGTGCGCCAGTCCTGCTGGTCGCCCCATTGTGCGCCAGTCCTGCTGGTCGCCCCATTGTGCGCCAGTCCTGCTGGTCGCCCCATTGTGCGCCAGTCCTGCTGGTCGCCCCATTGTGCGCCAGTCCTGCTGGTCGCCCCATTGTGCGCCAGTCCTGCTGGTCGCCCCATTGTGCGCCAGTCCTGCTGGTCGCCCCATTGTGCGCCAGTCCTGCTGGTCGCCCCATTGTGCGCCAGTCCTGCTGGTCGCCCCATTGTGCGCCAGTCCTGCTGGTCGCCCCATTGTGCGCCAGTCCTGCTGGTCGCCCCATTGTGCGCCAGTCCTGCTGGTCGCCCCATTGTGCGCCAGTCCTGCTGGTCGCCCCATTGTGCGCCAGTCCTGCTGGTCGCCCCATTGTGCGCCAGTCCTGCTGGTCGCCCCATTGTGCGCCAGTCCTGCTGGTCGCCCCATTGTGCGCCAGTCCTGCTGGTCGCCCCATTGTGCGCCAGTCCTGCTGGTCGCCCCATTGTGCGCCAGTCCTGCTGGTCGCCCCATTGTGCGCCAGTCCTGCTGGTCGCCCCATTGTGCGCCAGTCCTGCTGGTCGCCCCATTGTGCGCCAGTCCTGCTGGTCGCCCCATTGTGCGCCAGTCCTGCTGGTCGCCCCATTGTGCGCCAGTCCTGCTGGTCGCCCCATTGTGCGCCAGTCCTGCTGGTCGCCCCATTGTGCGCCAGTCCTGCTGGTCGCCCCATTGTGCGCCAGTCCTGCTGGTCGCCCCATTGTGCGCCAGTCCTGCTGGTCGCCCCATTGTGCGCCAGTCCTGCTGGTCGCCCCATTGTGCGCCAGTCCTGCTGGTCGCCCCATTGTGCGCCAGTCCTGCTGGTCGCCCCATTGTGCGCCAGTCCTGCTGGTCGCCCCATTGTGCGCCAGTCCTGCTGGTCGCCCCATTGTGCGCCAGTCCTGCTGGTCGCCCCATTGTGCGCCAGTCCTGCTGGTCGCCCCATTGTGCGCCAGTCCTGCTGGTCGCCCCATTGTGCGCCAGTCCTGCTGGTCGCCCCATTGTGCGCCAGTCCTGCTGGTCGCCCCATTGTGCGCCAGTCCTGCTGGTCGCCCCATTGTGCGCCAGTCCTGCTGGTCGCCCCATTGTGCGCCAGTCCTGCTGGTCGCCCCATTGTGCGCCAGTCCTGCTGGTCGCCCCATTGTGCGCCAGTCCTGCTGGTCGCCCCATTGTGCGCCAGTCCTGCTGGTCGCCCCATTGTGCGCCAGTCCTGCTGGTCGCCCCATTGTGCGCCAGTCCTGCTGGTCGCCCCATTGTGCGCCAGTCCTGCTGGTCGCCCCATTGTGCGCCAGTCCTGCTGGTCGCCCCATTGTGCGCCAGTCCTGCTGGTCGCCCCATTGTGCGCCAGTCCTGCTGGTCGCCCCATTGTGCGCCAGTCCTGCTGGTCGCCCCATTGTGCGCCAGTCCTGCTGGTCGCCCCATTGTGCGCCAGTCCTGCTGGTCGCCCCATTGTGCGCCAGTCCTGCTGGTCGCCCCATTGTGCGCCAGTCCTGCTGGTCGCCCCATTGTGCGCCAGTCCTGCTGGTCGCCCCATTGTGCGCCAGTCCTGCTGGTCGCCCCATTGTGCGCCAGTCCTGCTGGTCGCCCCATTGTGCGCCAGTCCTGCTGGTCGCCCCATTGTGCGCCAGTCCTGCTGGTCGCCCCATTGTGCGCCAGTCCTGCTGGTCGCCCCATTGTGCGCCAGTCCTGCTGGTCGCCCCATTGTGCGCCAGTCCTGCTGGTCGCCCCATTGTGCGCCAGTC